ATGTATTTATCCTATAAGACCTTATAAAGTTAATTATAATATGTAGATTAAAATCTAAACTAGTGGACAAAAACATATAAGACAATTGTACTAAGTCAAGGTTCACATTAGATATATTGTCTACACTGAATTACAGTATTTTTTTCCTTTTTTCCTATTATCTGTCATTTCATGCTTCATGTAATATATACATAAAGTTTTTCATATAAGAGAAATCATTGATGTTTAAACTTGTATGTCTGAGTCACTTCATGTAACGCTATAATCTCAAGATGCATCCATTTTCCTATAAAAACTTGAGTTTATCCTTCTTTATCCATTGTGTACAAATACCAAATTTTCTTTATCCATTCATCTGGTGATGGATGTACAGGCTGTCTCCAAGATTTAGCCCTCATGAATTGTTCTGCTGTAAACGGGGTACACACCCATCACTGTAGTGTGATGTCTTTCCCCATTTTTTTTTGTTTGTTTGTTTTGTTTTTGTTGTTGTTGTTTTTATCGGTACCAGGGATCGAACTCAGGACTGCCTGCTTGCAAGGCAGGTGCTTATGCCGCTGAGCTAAATCCGCAGCCCCAAGGGGAATAGCTAGATCAAATGGAATTCCTGTTTGTATTTTTTGAGGGATCTCCGTACTTATTTCCACAGTAGTTGCACCAGTCTGCTCTCCCACCAACAGTGAAGGAGGATTCCTTTCTTCCCACAGCCCTGCCAGCATTTGTTATTGGTTTATCTTGGTGGTAGCCATTCTTTTTGGGCTGAGTTGGAATCTCAGTGTTATTTTAATTTGCATTTCTTGAATAGCCAGCAGTGTTGAACATTTTACTTCATCTGAAAGGCATTTATTCATTTCAGATGCCTGTTTTTAGATTAGATCTTTAAAATTGAGTCTAGTTTTTTGCATTCTTTGTATATTCTAGATTCCAGTCCTCTGTCTGAAGAGTAGCTGGCAAGTTTGTCTCATTCTGTAGGCTGTCTCTTCACTCTGTTGGTGGTTTCTTTTGCTGTACAGAAGCTTTTTAACTTGATGCAATCCCATCTGTGGATTCTTGATACTATTTCTTGTGCAACTGGTGTTTTATTCAGAAAGTCTTTGCCTAAACCTTTGTCTTCAAGAGTTTTACCGATTTTGTCTTCCAGCAGATGGCTTCTGTTCTAATGTTCATATCTGACCCACTTTGATTACAGTTTAGTGCATAGTGAGAGAGACGGGTCTAATTCAACCTTTGGCATGTGGAAAGTCAGTCTTCCCAGTAACATTTATTAAAGAAGCTATCTTTCCTCCAGAGAAGAGATTTGGCCCCTTTGTCAAGAATAACATAGCTGAGTGTGCTGGAATTGTTTTTGTATCTTCTGTTCCAGTAATTCACATGTTTGGTGTTTTTGTTTATTTTATTTTGTTTTTGCCAAGACCTTGCTGTTTTTATCCCTGTAGCTTTTCTCTGTAGCTAAATTCAGGAATTGTGCCACCCCTTGCTTTGCCCATATTGCCCTGAATTACTTTTGCTATTGTACATTTCTTCCATTTCCATATGAATTTTAGGATTCCTCTAGTTCTGTAAGGAATGTTACTGGTGTTTTGATTGGAATTGCATTAAATCTATGTAACAGTTTTGGAAGTATGGTCATAAAATGATTTAATGCCAGTGAAACGCAACAGTAAATTTTCTTTTCTCTTTCTCTCCCTCCATTCGTCCTTCCTTTTAGTTATTGTTGTTTTTAGTCAACAGACTGACCTTGACCTCCCTGTGTAGTCCAAACTGGGTGGAGACTCTGTAAATCCTCCTGCCTCAGCCTCCTGAGTGCTAGGTTTGCAGGTGTATACCACAATACCTGGTCACTAGTTTAATTTTCAAGGACAATTCCTTCTACTTAAACACAATAGAATATGTCACCAGCCTTTGTTATGGTGCTGTCTGCTTTTTGCTGTCTTCGTTCATCCAGAAGCACAGGTTGCCACCATGGCTGCCCACAGCACTGACAGATGGTTTCCTTCCATCTGAAACACATCACAGTAAAACCCATGTAGCAGATTACTCTGAGATTACTTTAGCAGAGTGAAAACATTCCTGAACCCTTAATGAAGAAAACCTTGTTTCAGAGATGTTACAGTCAGTTCCTGTCTGAAAAAAATTGGGCTCATCATTGTCTTTCTGGGGCAGGGAGGTAGAGAGGGTTCCATGGAGCATGGGCATCTTGTGCACTGGGCTTTTCCCATTAGGCATTGTCCATAAGGAAGTTTCCTAACACCTTTTCCTCCCAAACTCTTTATTGTATTTTTATTCCTCTGTTTCAAAAAAGAAATCATACTCGTGTGTCCATAAGTCCCAAGATGTGACTAGCAGAGTCCTCCCCAGGCACTGGGCAGTGGCCCACACCCAAGGGTGGTAGAGTTTGCTCCTGGAGCATTCTCAGCAGAGACAGTGTGTGCTGCCAAGACCTTCCATTAGTCCATTAGCCTGGTATTTGTCCAGCTCTTCTCTTCCTTAGACAGTGACCCATCTGACATTCATGCTCCAATAGCTTTTGAGAGATTAATATAAAAATAATTGATGTTTTCCAAGTTGTTAAGTATCTTGCTAGTAAGTGATTACCTTCCTAGGTTGTTAATGGGTTTCATCTGTGAAACTAACTTTGCCAATCCACATAGCTGAAGTTTTTTCAGTGATCTCCTTCTCCCTTTGCAGGGAGAATTAAGCAACCATAAATTAAGAAGCACAGTAAACCAGGTGATGTAGCCCATGTCTGTACTTCAGCTGCATTTGAGGATGAGGCAGGAGGGTGCAAATCTGAGCAACTTAGTGATACCCTTAACGAATGAAAATTTAACATGTAGCTCAGCTCTCCTGAGTTCAATCCCCATTGCCAGGGGTCAGAGAAGTAGAAGCAGACTAGAATATATTGGCAATTAGAGTAAATGTAAGTATAGATTTTTTCTTTTTCCACTCTAGAATGGCTGGTGTACTTTTTTACTTACAGTCCATTTCATCAAGAAAATTAGAGCTAAGTGACCCATTTTTGCCCCAATGATAGAGTAATATGCTGTAATATTGTAGAATGCCTTAAAGAAATCACCAAGTATTAAGGGGGATGTCCACATGTTAACCTACAAGTATTTTATCTGTGCTTTCTGTACTTTTTCATATATTAATCTTGACTTTTGAATAATAAGGGAAAATGTTCTCAAATACTTTGCAAACAGTCACAAGTAATTATTTTAGTGGTTAGAGGACAGTATAAGAAACTAATATTAGGCCATGATATGACAGAAAATGCATTCTTAAATATGAATCAGGATTCTACTCCTTTTCCTTCTTTTTAGTCATGTACATGAAAGTTAAAGAGTTGGTGGTTGATACAGTGAAAAAAAAAATATATATATATATGACTTGGAAACAAATGGAAACTTTCTTCATCCAACAGGCTATGACCATTTTTTAAAAGAAAGGCTTTGACATAGCTAATTAAGCTCGGTGTTAGATTTGGGCTGAAAAAACCTAAGCTGTTTAAAAACATGCCAACTTGGGCTGCAGGTACAGCTGGTGGTACTGAGCTTGCCTAGCCTGTGAGAGGGCCCAGGTTTTACCTCAAATAACCCACTGCTCAAATAATAATAAAAACAAAACGTGCAAAAATCAGTCCACCTGCATTTTCCCCAGGATCTTTGCCTTTTGGCCCGGGTCGATCTTGTAATGTTACCTGTGACATTGCATAGTGTCTCTCAATCAGAGTCAGTCTGAATGCCACTCTCGCCCAGCCAGTGTGCAGTAGTGCTTATATTAGTGTGTTCCAACATTCGGCATTATTGTGTGTGTGCACGCATGCTTTGTGTAAAATATAAACACAGCTTCCAGAAAAGTTTGACATCGGCAGCAATGCTAAGAGGAAAACTGTGAGAACCCCATTAAAGAAAGAAATCACTGAGAAATTTGTTAAAGTCTTGCAAAAATGAATTTATAAGTGCAATTTTGGGGCCTCAAAACCAATTATTTGGTTTTCCATTATTACTTGTGGGAAAAATATGTTCAGTTCTTGAACTTTTCACTGTTTGAGCACCAGTTTTGATCAAATGTAGTTCAACGACTGAGATGTCACTGTATTTTATTTATAAATGTTCTTTGCTTCTCTGCCTGTGAAATATTTCTCTCTGGAAACATCTGGCAACTGGAGAGTGACAGGTAAATAGGACTTGGGGATTCGTGCATTGGCACCCAGAAGATAAGCCCAGGAAGGACTGATACCAAGTTTGAGGTTCCTGGTTACTTTGGTGCCAGAAAGGATGCTGTCAGTATTTCTGTCAGGAGCGTCCCAGGCAGCATCCACCCATGGCAGCTCATGGGCTGTTTTTTAGGGGTGTGTGTTGCCTGTATCTGTTTTGATCAGATACAGCTTTTCAGGTCACAGGCACCTCGTTCAGCAGTTGCCTTCATCAGGTTTTGGGGGTGTTCGATGAGAAGCCTGAAAGCTCCTGTTTTAATCAGCTTTGTGAGCTTCAGCGATGTGAATTATCCCTGGTGTGTCAGATCTCCCAAATGGGACTTTAATGGCCCGTGTTTAAACTATGATGAATGTTTCCGATAAGGTTGGCCCTGAAAACAAAGAATAGTTGTTTATGGAGAGATTATTAAATAGACGAGGGTGGACTATCGGTTCTTAAATTAAGGGGAACCCCTTACAGAGCCTTCCTCTCCTGACATCTAAAGTATTCAGCACCTTCTCCTGTGTACTTGTTGGTTTGTTTCATGAGGATGAATTGCAAGTCTCATTGTTCATTTTTGGTTTTGTTTTGTCCAGGCCATTTTCCATAAAGATTTTCTCTAGAATGTTCCAATAATAAATGAATGAAATATTCTGATTGGAAGTTGTGATTGTTGCTGGAGGCAATACTTTCCCTTTATTTTGAAGAAGCTAAGATTTCACTGAGTACATGTCTTTATTACAAAGGGAAGAAAACTTATCTCGTATATATTGACAAGTTAGAATTTTTTGTTATCAACAGGTTTGGCAAACATCGAAAAGATGACAAGATTGAGAAAACGGGTAAAATAAAAATGCAGGAATCCTTTACGTCAGAAGAGGAGAGGATTCGAATGAAGCAGGAGCAGGAGAGGTAGACTTCAGTTATTTGATTAAACCTCATTAGAAAGATGTTCTTTTTCCCCCTTCTGCTCTTTAAAATGTAAATATTTTTCATTCAACTCTATTTTCTATGTCACTCCAAATGCTGGTTGTCAGAGGAATGTAATGGAAAGAAAGTTTAAAAAAAGAGATTGGAGCATCAGTATGAATTTTAATGGTTTGAGTTAAGATCTTTTACATAGGAGACAGAGAAGCATTTTAGATGAATAAACACAGTAATGCTGAATTTTCAATGATTTTTTAAAATCACAAAATAGTTAAAATCCTGCCTCATTCATCTATGAGTATGTCATATAGACATTTTAGAGGAGTACTCATCTAGAAATAAACCTGTTTGAATTTTAATATCTTACTTTGAGTATCTTGATTCATAATAATAATTTAAGGCTGTTAATTTTTCACTGTTTTCTTTTGTTAACATTAAGTACATTGATACGAAAAGAAGAAAGTTATGAAATATCCTCATATCTTTCCTGAAGAAATTAGAAATAAAAGACAGAATAAAACCAAAAACAAATAGAAGAAAATAATAAAGATCAGAAAACACAATCCCTTATCAAAATGCCAGCATCATTTTTCATAAAAATTAAGATTTTGACTCTTACATTTCTGTAGAAATACAAAAAGTCAGAATAGTCTAAACAACTTTGATGAAGAAACAAAATTAGAGCTCTAACCTTCCCCAGTCCAACGACTTACCACAAAGTTACACCAATCATGACAAAATAGCGTTGATATCAAGACAGACAAACCACTAAGGTACTATTATGAAGTCCCCAAATAGATACCCAATAGATAACAGACAATTGATTTCTGGCAAAGATGCAAAAACAATTAAGTGGAGAAAGGATTGTACCTTCAGTAAACATACTGGGACAACTGGGTTTCCACGTGCAAAAAGCCCAAACCTTACAGCACATCATGCATTTCTTAAGACATCCAAAAGTCAACTCAAAATGGCTCACAGTGGATTAAAGTAAAGGCAGGTGTGACCTGAGTCATTGCTTTGGCTGAGGTCATTCTCTCTGAGATACAAATACTGGGACAAGGTGTAGAAGGGAAGGCAGTACCTATAGAAGTGTTCAGTGAGGGAGGCAGTGAATTTGCGTCTGAACAGGCCACGGGGGTGACAATTTTTATATACATAAATGTATATAAATTTTTATATTTTTTATATACATAAACTGTAACATAAACTGTATGACTATTTTTATATACATAAACATACATATATATTTTTCTTTCCACTTGTCTCACAAATGAAACTATAGAGTTTATACATGCATGTCTTATTTATTTCACTAATAGGTATGTTCTCAAGGTGCATCCACTGACCTATAAAACCTGCCCAGTTTATCATTCTTTATGACTGAGTAGTATTCCATTGTAAAGAAACGCCACATCTTTTTTACCCATTCCTCAGTCAGTAGGCATTTAGGTTGTTTCCAAGATCTGGCTATTATAAACTGTGCTGCTATAAACATGGGTGCACATATAGTGCTGTGGTACAATGTTTTAAATTCTTTTGGAAAGATACCCAGAAGGGGAATAGTTGGGTCAAATTGGGACCTCTAATCCTGGTTTTTTGAAGAATCTTCACACTGATTTCCACAGCGATTGCACCAGTCTGCATTCCCATCAACAGTGGAAAAATGTTCCTTCTTCCCCACAGCCCCTGCAACATTTGTTATTGCTTGATTCCTTAATACCAACTATTCTTTCTGGGCTGAGGTGGAATCTGTGTTGTTTTAATTTGCATCTCTCACATGACCAGTGCTGTTGAACATTCTTTTTCACATTTCACATTTCACATATTCATTTGTTGTTTGTACTTCTTCATCTGAGAAGTGTATGTTCCTCTCAGATGCCCATTTTTGGACTGGTTCTTAAATCTGGGAGGACTATTTGTTTTTTTGAGTTCTTTATATGTTCTGGATAGTAATCCTTTATCTGAGGAACAGCTGGCAAACATTTTCTCCCAGGTTGTGGGTTGTCTCATCACTCTGTTGGTTTCTCTTGCTGTGTAAAAGCTTTTGCAGTAGGATGAGATCCCATTTGTTGATTCTTTGTGATAGTTCCTGTGCACTCTGGGTTTTATTCATAAAGTCTTTGCCTACACCAATGTCTTAACGAGTCTTACCTACTCTATCTTCCAGCATATTTAATGTTTCTGCTTTAATATTAAGGTCTTTAATCCATTCTGATTTTAGCTTAGTACATAGTGAAAGATAATGGATTTTTTTAACCCTCGTCATGCAGAAAACCAGTTTTTCCAACACCATTTATTAAAGAGGCTGTCTTTTTTCCAGTGAATGTGTTTGGCATCTTTGTCAAAGATGTAGAGTATCATGTCATGTGTAAATAATGATAGTTTAACTTCTTCCTTTCCTATCTTTATTCCTTTTATTTCTTTCTCTTGTCTAATTGCTCTGGCTAAAGTTTCCAGACTATGTTGAATAATAGTGGAGACCGTGAACATCCTTGTCTTGTTGCTGACTTTAGAGTGAAAGTTTTCAGTTTTTGTCATTTAGTATGATGCTGGCTGCTGGTTTGTCATAGATGGCTTTTATCAGATGAAGGTAAAGACCATCTATTCCAATTTTCTGTAGGGTTTTTATCATGAATGGGTGCTGGATTTTGTCAAAAGCTTTTGCTGCATCTGTTGAGTTGATCATATGATTTTTGTCCTTGGCTCTGTTAATGTGACATATTACATTTGTGGATTTATGTATGTTGAACCATCTCTGCATCCTTGGGATGAATCCCACTTGATCATGGTATACAATCTTTTTTGACAATTTACTGTAGAGTTTGAGAAATTGTGGTGTTAGGTCTTCATTAAATTTCTTGTAGAATTCAGCAGTGAATCCATCAGGGATTTTCTTTGTTGACAGGTTTTAATTACATCTTTAATTTCATTTGTTGATATTGGGTTATTTAGGATATATTTTCTTGATTCAGCTTTGGTAATTCATCTGTATCTAGGAATCTGTCCATTTCTTCTGTATTTTCGATCTTAATAGAATAGATGATTTCCTGAATTTCTATGGGATCTGTTGTGATTTCACACTTTTCATTGCTAATTGCATGGATTTGAGTCTTTTCTTTCTTTCCTTTTTTTGATAAGGTTGGCCAAGCGCTTGTCAATTTTATTTAGTCTTTCAAAGAACCAACTTTTTTGATTCATTGTATTGTTTTTTTAGTCTCCATTGTGTTAATTTCTGCCCTGATCCTTATAACTTCCTCCCTTCTATAAGCCCCCCCCCCCCATCTTTTTTCTTTTTCCCGTTTTTCTAAATTGTTTGTCCTGGTGGATTCCTTCTGTTATCTTCCAACAGACTCAGAGCCCAAATGGAATTGTCCTTATTATCTCTTTCTAGAATGTCCTTCAGAACATTTTGGGGTACTGGTTTAGTGTCATAAATTTCCCCAGATGTTCTTTGTCATGAAAGTATCTTATTTCTGCATCAATTTTGAAAGATAGTTTTGTAGGATATATCATTCTGGGTTGAAAGTTGTTTTCCTTTAGAATTTGGAGTACTTCACTCCAAACTCTCCTTGTCTCAAGAGTTTGTGCTGAGAAGTCAGCTGTAATTCTGATGGGCTTTCCTTTATAAGTGATTTGTTTCTTTTCTGTAACCACTTTTAAGGTTCTATCCTTGTGTTGAGTTTCTGGAATCTTGACTATGATATGCCTGGATATAAATTTTTTATTATTATTGCTAATTGGAGTTGTATATGCCTTACTTACTTGTGTATCAAAGTCTTTTTTTTTTTTTTTTTTGTCTTTTTCATTTTTATCAGTACTGGGGAATCGAACTCACGACTGCCTGCTTGCAAGGCAGGTGCTTATGCTGTTGTGCTAAATCCCCAGCCCTATCAAAGTCTTTTTATCCACCAGCAAAATTTTCTGTCAAAATGTCTGCAAAGATTTTTTTAATGTCACTTATGGTGTCTCCTGCTTGTTCATTGATTCCAGTTGATCTTAAGTTATTCTTCTTCATCTCATCTAGCTGCTGCTGGTTTGATTTCTCACCTTCCCTTGATAGTTTTCAGAACTCTTTCTTTTCCTGGTCACTAACTGCAAACCTGTCTTCAGTATCTGAGATCCTGACCTCACATTGGCCTAATCTGCTTCAGATACTTTTAGATACTTTTTATTCTCTTGGATATCTGCTTGAATCTGCTTTATGGATTCCACTTCTTTCTTATGCTGAACTTTCATAATTTGCTTAAGATCGTCTATTTTTTTTGTCTGTATCTTCCCTAACATCACTAAGCATGGTGTGTATATTGGTAATCTCTGTAGTTATTTGAGAGGTTATTTCAGATTTCAGTTTTTCCAGAGAGTCTTTCAATTGCTTTGTTGTTACCACTTCAGAGAGACCTGGCAGGGGGTTTTTGGGTTTTCCAGCCTCATTGCCCGCTGGGTTTGCCTTTGGTGAACTGGATGTCTGAGGTTGTCTTGTTTAAGTGTCTTCTCTTTTCTTTTTTAGTTTATTTCCTGGAGTGATGCTTACTGGTTGCCTATGGTGGGTTGCTTTCTTGATGGTATTTAGGACACCCAGGTATGATCATTTCTCTGAGGTATCTTCCAGGTGTAGCTGGCTTTGGGCTCTCAGTGTGTTGGAAGATCTGACCTCCTCAGTTTGTTGGAGATTAGAAGCTATTGCTTGCTTGGCCTACTCCCTGGTCCTTTGGTGCTGTGCCACAGTATTCTGTGTGACCCTAGTCAATCTCAGTCCTGGATTATCAGGGCCAACAGCTATTTAGAACAGTTATGTCAAGTTTGGCTGTAGTGATACCAATATCATCAAACACAGCCTACAAAACTATAAACTGAGCCAACTCCTGGTTTGCTACTTTTTTTAAAATCAGTATCAGGGATTGAACTCACAACTGCCTGCTTGCAAGGCAGGCACTTATGCTGCTGAGCTAAATCCCCAGCCCCACTACTTTTAACCATATAAA